TGGGTGAATTGATAAGTAAGAGTTATTTGTTGATTTTTTTTTATTTTATATTTTAAGAATCTTAAAAATTATTAATTCTTTAGAAGTATAACTATATTAAGGATAAAAATCCTTTTGTTTTCAAAAGTTCATGACAATTTCTATCTAAATACTAAATCTGGGTCAAAATCCCGACAAAGTCACAATCCTGACAGGTTAGCCCACATTAGCCATAACTTCGGTCAATTTTTATTGGAATTTTGTTTTTTAGGATTCTGTTTGTCGAGATTTTGACCCAAATCTTTAAATAATATGGCTCAAAATCATTTGTCATAACATTTATTATAAATATTTGTAAAATTCATGAATCTTTACTATTTATTTTTCGTTTATCCATTCGCTATTAATATAAGTATTTAAAATAAGCTATTCAAAGTAGTGTTCCAAATCGGTCAAATTTTCAAATTGATTAGTTGTCAACTTAGTTGCCGATTACAACTAGGGTTCTGCAAGTGCCGGCACACGTGCACCACATGTTTTTTTATATCAATTGGATTGGCAAAAGTAACATTTAAAATTTATTATGTACGTACGTACGTACGTACGTAGATAATCAATCAACGATTAGTTGGTTAAAAATTTTCCAATCAATTAGTCAACTAGTTGTCAACTAGTTGGTTTTTCAACTAACGATTTGGATCACTATATTCAAGTTCATGAAGTTTTACTATTTAATTTATTTTATTCGCATTAATTTAGTCGATGAATATAGAGAACATTTATTAATCTAAGCATTTAAAATAGAATAAATGTATACATCGCACTATGCGATGCACTTGTATATAATTACAAATCCGCACAACATAAAATCAAAATTTATATAATAGTTTAATAGAGATTAGGATAGGGCATAGTATATGGTAAAATTTCGCAAGGAATTCTTGAGAATGACCTTACGGTACATGATACCGTAAGGTCATTTTCAAGGCAAAGACCCCAATTTTCTATTAGAATAATGTTACACTGATTTTCACGTTATACCGCAGATATACAATTTAATTGGTAGATCGTTAGAGTGCGATATATAAGGCGATGCCTAATTAAGTCCTTTAAAATAAACTCATTATTTATTTATCGAGTATAAAGAATATTTATTAATTTAAGGCTATTTAAGTTCATGAATATTTATACGTACGTGCGTACGTACTATTTAATCTACTGTGAGTAGAAAAGGTAAATATTTAAGGACTTAGTTAGGCATCGCGCCATGCAGTGCAGTTATATATCGCACCCTAACGATCTGTTTTTTTTAAAAGAAATTGTAATATCTCAAGGTTTTGCTTATGAAACAGATTTTAACATTCTAATAAAAATTTCTTGCAAAATTTTGCTATATACCGATATTGTGCTCTACTCTAATCTCTATCAATTCTAAATTATGTTATAAAAACTGATTTTATGTTAAACTGATTTTATGTTATCGTTATATAGTTATTGTTTATACAGAGGTGCGATATACAAGTGCATCGTATAGTGATGTAGGCATTATTCAATATTTAAAATAGGTCATTCAAATTTATTTATTCGTATTAATTAAATGGTGAGCATAAAATTAAATTTGGTACGTACTCGTAATTAGAAATTTATCGTTATGCGGTATGGCTAAGTAAACTGATCATTATTTATTATTTTTACTGGATAGTTCTACGTATAAATTTTGCGTAGAACGCAAGCGCATTATCTGCAGTATTACTAAAATTATTTAATAAAAACTTTATTGCAATTTTGAATTTGGTTTAAGATGGCACATTTTAAATGTTTAATAAACCCTATAATTAATAAAATCTTAAAGTACATATGCACGTATGTACGCACTCATGCACGTACTGTACGTGTATTACCCAATACATATCTATAAAATTGTGATCCACTCACCTAGTTCCATTCCCTTCCTTACTAAATTTACTAAATCCTCGAAGGTATATTACTATATGTGTTCCACACGATATAATATGTCCAATATGAATGTGCGTATGTGATGCCATTCCTCGGCAAGATATACTATTTTGTGAGCTAATAATATTTTTCGTGTCAACAAACGATAATTCCTATTGACCAATTCTGATTACACTGAATATGTATAATATTCTCCCAAGACATGGTCATCGAAGAGTTAGATAATACCAACTACAAGAAGATTGATGCAAATCAACATTCAAAGTGGGATATTCTTTTCTTCACAAAATTTCACGGCCGAAGAAAGTTCGTTATAAGCAGCCATTTTAATCCAATGAATACCTTCTTTAACATTCTTTTCGACGCCCACGCCCTCATAATACATATTTCCGACATTAAACATTGAGTTTGCATCGCCTTTATGAGCTGCTTTACAAAAATATTCGAAAGCAGATTTTAAATCTCTTTCCACTCCAAGACCGTTATATAAACATGCTGCATAATAATATTGAGAAATTGTCATATCACCGTCATCAGCTGCTTCTTTAAATAGCTTGGCAGCTTGATTAAGCCTTTGTTCTTTGGAGCATTGAGGTTCCAAGAAATTTTTGTATAGATAATAAGCTTTGTAATACTTGGCTGTCGTGTCGCCTGTAGAAAAAAATATCAAAATACTGTAAATT